AAGCGCTGTCATTCTCAATTTTCTTTCGTAACGTAAAAGCACTAAAATTTGAACACTAATGCTTTAATTGATAATGCCTTCAGAAACTGTCTGATATCTTTTTTACGCATCTTGGTTTTTGCAGGCATGGAGTTTTCCATATTTCATTATATGCGTGTGAGCACCTTCCACATAGAAAGGTGTAGACTGCGCAGCTGGTATCTTTGGCATGCTAAGAACCGGTGGTTTTGGACCATTGGTGATATCACTCAAAATCGTTCTCAGTGGTGCAGATGCATGTACGCTTTATTATCTTCTGGATCCACCGGGCACTGTTTTTTCAGTGTTACTGTTATATCCCGCGTATTTTTATGATGTTTATTGTCTTTTCTAATTTCTTTCTTCCTCTACTTTTGTGTGCTACATAGTGTACGGTAACTTGAAATGTTACAATTCTATGCAAAGTTATACGTCGGGACTCAGTTAGCAAAATCCGCTCCAAATGTTATTTGATTTTTTGCCTCATTAGCTTGTCTAGCTCACTAAGATAAATGTACAGAGGCTACAACATCTTGCCTCCAAAACTAACGCTTTTTTAAATTCTAATTATCTATAATATAGCCAAGTAAATACGACTATTCCACAGGATGTGTCATCTAGTTTTTATATGACAACATCTTAAACACTGAAACACTGTCAATCAAAATAAATCAATACTGAAATGTATAGTATTTGTGATTAAAAAAGAGAACTAACCAAATAAATAACTAATATAATGTCAGCGGATATTCATATTTAACCTCATTTTATGAAAAAGATTCTCACAGTAGGTGACTACACGACAAAACATATAGATATATATGCATCTACATATATGTCAGGTCAACTGAAAGAAGTCTCGCAAAAAATGTTTTAGTAACGTATACCCAAGTTAAATTATCTGAATCCAGGATTATGTCGTATATATATGTATATATATATATATATATATTCCCAAAAATAATCAGTCAATTTTGTGTGTCTCATAGATTGACTGATTGATTAGACAGAAATTTCAAACTCTACGTATGATCATGACAGAAAGCCTTCTGTATATGATGCAAAAAGCCACCTTATTCTCTAGATCACTTTGTATTGAAACTCTTAACTTAATTCGTTATAATCGATTTTTTCTTAGCCATCTAAAGACATCTAGACCGATAGGAGTAGCCAGTTTATTTATGAATTGACTACAATTAAAGACTAGAGCTCAGAATAAACTCACAGCTCAACTGGACAGGTTATGTGGAAGCCGTTTGTTTGAATCCCTCCCAAACCGAACATTTTATTTAACTTTCAGTTATCCTCCAACCTAAAACTATTTAAAACAGTCTCATCATCACTTACCAACCTACTCCTCTACACCTAATTCAACAAGATTGTAAATGAAAAGAGAAGACCTAAGTAGGCAGCTGATATGATTATACGTATGAATATACACATGAATACTGTGCACCGCCCTTAGAGAATTTAGTAAAATGATGAACTGGATGACAGTTCGCTCTCCTATCTCAACTCCTAGAGTGGTGGGTAAGGAAGTCGAAAGCCCCTTGTTACAATCTTTCTATAGTCAACATTTTCATTACACATTCAATCACCATCCATCACAATGATAACGTTTTATCAGTACGGAAGTTTCGCCACTCAAACTTTGATATGAGCAATCATTACTCTTATTAAGTTAACATTTACGCGTATGGAATTAGTGAGAAGATAATAAGGGAGGGTAAATGAAGTCGTCTTCAGTGGATTGAACTGCTACTGATTCCATTCATTCATTAAGTTGACTCGGCGAAATCAGGACATGACCAGTCATATGGTGACGTTAATAGTTGACATCCTCCTCGTACTGTGACTAAGTATAAAACGGAGTTTAGATAAATAAGTTAGATTTCCATTTTCTCTTGGATTTATAGAGTAAAACTCACCATTTGTTGACAATATATTAAAAAGAAACAAAATGACTGGAAACAATAGTTACTATTATTCACTGCCATCTTGAACATTTGAAGTAAAGACCTCATCAGTCATCAATGAGTTCACACTAAATGTGATTATTTTCTATGTTTTGTTGAGTGTGTGTATATGCCTTACAACCATAGCATTTAAAGACAGTGTCTTTATTCAGCATTATAAATTTTCTGCTAACTCTTGTGACAGGCAAACACTGTTGAACATTATTATTATTATTGTTTCCTTTAATTCCTAGAGGAACATAGGGCTTCAGCCACGCGTCTCCATTGCTTTCGGTTCTCTGCTAGAGTCTTCACCTGTCTCCAAGTCTGCCCACATGCTTTCATCTCCTCTTCACATGACCTCCTCCAAGTCACTCTCGGATGACCAACTTACCGCTTCCCTTTCGGGTTCCACTCGAGCAATGGTTTGTCTAGTGATGTCACTTGATGTTTTCCTAAGAGTATGGCCAATCCATCTCCATTTCTTCCTGCCTATTTGTTTCACAATCGGTTCCTGGTTGATTTGCTCCTAGAGATCTATGTTGCCGATCTTTTCCGGCCATCTGATCTTGAGTGGTATTGAGCGAAGACAACTGTTAATGAAGGTCTGTAGTTTGTTTCAGATGCTCTTTATGACGTGCCGGACAAGTCTCTGATCCGTATAGTATCACTGGCTTCACATTGGAGTTGAAAATGCGTATCTTATTTTTGATGCTGAGTGCTGTTGACCTCCACACAGACTTGAGAGTAATGAAAGCTTGTCTTGCTTTTCCGATTCTTGCTTTGATATCCTCGTCAGTTCCGCCTGTAGTTGAAATGATGCTTCCCAGGTAGTTAGTAGTTGAAGGAGGTTGTTTCTTTCAGGTCCCTTCCATTTATGCTGATTGTTGTCTGTTGTTGTTGTTGCTGTTGGTGGTGTTGCCCAGGAATCTTCATCACTTCTGTTTTCTCTATGTTTACTTGGAGTCGTATCTTAGATGCTTCTTCTATCGCCAACTTGTTGCTTTTCACTTGCATATCTTCTATTTTGTGGGAAATCATACATATATCATCGGCGAAGTCCAGATCATCCAAGTTTTTTGTGTGGGTTTATTTTATGCCTGCTTCCTCGCTGCCCGCCGCCATCTGTTGCACTATCCAGTCTACTGCAATCAGGAAAATCATTGGTGATAGTAGGCAGCCTTGTCTTACTGCCGTCTTCACTTCGAAGGATTCTGTAAGTTTTCCGTTGTGGATTACTTGGCATGCAGCATTGTCGTACAGCTGTTGGATGAGATGTAGCGAAGTAGTTGCCAAATCATCACTCGATCGACGCTGTCGAAGGCCTTTTCAAAGCCGATGAAGTTGAGATAGAGAGGTGACTGCCATTCCAAGCTTTGTTCGATGATGATCCGTAATGTGGCGATTTGATCAATATATGACTTGTTTCTCCTGAATCCAGCCTGTTCCGGTCGAAGTTTTTCATCCAGGTTGGCATGTTTGATTCTCTCCAGGATGATGCGGCTTGGTATTTTGCTTGGGATGGACAGGAGCATAATTCTGCGCCAATTCTTGCATTGACTTAAGTTTCTTTTCTTTGGCAGTTTGAATAAGTATCCTTTCTTCCATTCCTAGGGTACCTTGCCCTTCTTTCCATATCTTCTCCATTAGTGGCGTCATCAAGTCCGCTGTTGTCTCTGGGTCTACTTTCAATGCTTCTGCTGGGATTCCATCTGATCCTCCTACTTTTCCAGCTTTTAGCATCTTGACTGAACATAGATCATATTATTACTTTGTTGCTGTTGTTGTTGTTGTTTTTTGTTTATTTGTTAAACAGTGACTATTGAAGTTTGAAAGTGATTTATTTTTCAAAATATGGAATAATAGCCTTCTATAATGTTGTTCATACCTTCTATATGTCCTTACTTACTACCTAATTTTAATACAAACGGTCCTTTACTTCGGATAAACTATTCTGCAACATAAACCGTGTTGGCATTTATTATCAGTTATAATCTGGTTGTCGAGGCGGAAAAAGAAATATATGCGACACGGACGTATACTTTCAACGAAAACTGCATTCGAAGATTGATCATGGTCTGATTTGATTCAGAGAACCATTGAGAGCCAGAGGGTACTGGATAGTTATTTCTTACTTGTTTCTGACTCTCAGGCAGTACGCACCTAAAAACCAACCAGTGGGTACATATTCAACGAGCAACCTCTGTAATCTGAAGGTACTGGGTTCGATCTCTGTCTTTCAGTGGTCCTGTAAGTGAAGTCATTTCGATATCAATTCTGAAATCAGTCAAATTCCTACAAAATAACACTTGAAAGAACACATTGTAATTTTCAGTTTTGTTTCAAGTGAAATCAGTTCTAATAATTGTTGTAAAATTTCTTGTACTAAGAGAGAAGAGATCACAAAAAGCAACCTTGATTCTGCAACCGATCGTAACTTGTTACCTTTGGGATAAAAATGTTGGGCGTCTTGCTTACATCAATATTCTGATGATATATTATTTGCATAGTCATAAAAGTTTAAAGCTATGCATAGTACTGAATAGTTAAGCAATCGAGTTAATTATTCACAAGATTTACTATTTGTTTAGGTTAGCTTGTATTCATCACTGACTGATTACATTGGACCAATATGTTCGGCCCATACTGACATGTCAACTCCTAGTACGGATACTCCGACAATGTCTGATGAATAATATATTATTCGGTTGGTGGTAGCTAGCAATGGACTCCAGGATGCATATTTCGTTCTATTTGGCAATTCTCAGTCATTGACCCTGCGAACAAAAATTTGGCATGTGAAGCGATGCGTGCTGATTTTTAATATCAGTGGGGACATCCTCATTGGCTAGGGAGCAGGTACATCACGTTACTGAATCTAAAGCGAGACTAAGTGTGCATCCTGGATTGCACAACTGGCAACTGTTATACAAATACCATCAGGTTCTACTATTTTCTGTATTTTGCTTTTAAACATAATACAAAAGTTCATTAAAAAGCATCTGATTAAAGGGAAGAATGACTTACTTTGCCAATAATGCTCCCAACCTCCTAAAATTTAAAAAAAACAAAAAGAGAAATGCATTACTTCTCAGGAAATATATAAATATGCATACATGCACAAAATCGGTGTGGGCTTCCTGCTGTTTAAATATGATTTTTTTAAAAGTAGATTCGACGTGTCATTTGTTTAAGTTAATTTGAAAATTTTAGAATACTTATAATAAAATAATAAAATCATTAACCGGTAGTTTTATGTAAGGAATCGGTGATCATGTGACACTGAACCAATGACTACAATTACTGAATATTTAATCGATAGGAAAATAAGAGCAAAGTATGAGGAAATACCATTACAGCTTCAAAACAATTAATCTCTGAAAAGCTTTGTCAAACAAAAATATTGTAAGTGTTGTTTGCCAGAGATTTTACGGATTTCAATTTAGATGATGAGTTGTCATCATTTAGAGAACTACTGTATTCCTGGAAGTAGTGGATATCTTCTTTGTTTTACTTTATAACTCTTCATCAGCATGAACACACTATCCATAGACATATGCCCAATCAAGGACTTTCAGGCTACAAAACAAACCACTTGATTACTCCATCACTGTGATAGAACTGAATGTTTCATGATTTCTAGCTTTTCCCATTTTTTGACATTTGCGACCACCACAAGGCGATACCATCGGAGAGTATCTGTCTTGTTACTTGACTTAGTAAACGCCTCTAATTACGGTATCTGACTAGGACTCTAGAAAGTTTCATCAATTAGTCAGTCACCAGTAAGCGTTAGACTAATTTCCAAGTGGTGTGTTTGGTCTCTGGAGGTAAGGTCATGAGTGCGTACTGCAGTAGAGTCCCAAACTAACACTAAACAGTGGTCCAGCGCTTCCTGATTTTCACTGTTGCCGTAACTGTTGTCAGTCAGTAATATTACCTGAAAAATATGTTTGTAAGTCTCACATGTACCAACTTTATATTTATCGTCTCAAACCATAAATAAATAGGACTAAGGTAGAACAACATTTCATTACAATACGTTACCTCACCATAGCGCATTTTAAAAATTGATACTGTGTAATACTTATCTCTTTGCAGACTGACTGTATATTTACATTCCCTCGTAAATATTAATTAGGTTTTAATTCTCCACTCAACAGTGTTTATAATTCTACTACTTTTTAAAAAAATTTACTCAAATATTTTGTGTTTCGAGATAATTTCCATCAAATAAATGTCATTAGTCAGCGTATATTTCACATAGGGATATCTTATTTCATATGATTCGGAAAAGAAAAGTAAATAGAAAGAAAGATATCTCTAGAAAGAAAATGTTGTGAATATGTCCTAGCATTACTAACTAACTAGATGTATTTAAATGTCAATATTATCAAGAGTATTAAAAATAATGGGCTATTCCATCTTTAAAGTTGCATCCTACTTGATTTGAAAAAGACGTACCCGAATGACTGTCACTGTTATTTTTACCTATATTGGCAATCGAAATAGTAATTTTTAGAAATGTTTTTTGTCATTGTTTTCATAGGTAGATAAAATAAACGTCGTACTTTCAAATAATGTAGAAAAGATATTCCTACTGAGTGAGTAATGTTTTTTGCCTAAGGTGTTCCGGTCTCACCAGTATAAAAAATAAATCACGCCAAAGTTCTAAATACAAAACATGTGGTTAGTTTTCCGTACTGTTTTGTTCTCCGAACTGGATGGTTTAATTGAGGACCTTTCAATCCTAAGTGACTTCAGACTGAAGTCAGCACTGAGGGTGTAATCTTGGAAGATAAAAGAAATCGTCATAATTAGACCATACAGCTCAAAGAACACAACTTCAAAAGCATCTACTTAAGCTACAAATCTTCTCCAGTATTTTTATTATTATTTTTTTTGATTACAGCTTGATGCCACACCGTATTTTCAGTACAAGTATGGAATTTTCAGCATGGATATCGGTAGCCTAAATTTTGCAGGCCGAGCATATATATCGGGTGTGCGTCGGCAGGGGATCGAACCCCGGGCCATGTGTATGGTCAGCGAGAGTCCTAACCACTGTGCCACCGACGCACAGTATTTCAAAGTATGAGCAGTAATTTCACTTCCACTATTTTGTTGGTGTACGTTAACAGTTTTTGTATAAAAAATTCAATGTTCAGTAGATTCAGAGCTCGCAACATATTGAAAGCTGTTGTACTGCACAGTACTGGTGCAGCGAAGCACATTCTTACTAATGGTATGGGTTTACTAAAGCTACAGGTAATTTCATTCTGACTGTGTTAAACTGAGTCATTTTTTCTTGAGGCTGACCTGTTGATTAATTTCATCTGAAGTGATCGAGTGTCTCATTTCTCGACCGAACATTTTTTTCAGTGATACTTTGATAAATAATCATAACATGGAATACATATTATTCTGGTATCAATTAACAATACTCAGTATGCATCTAAAACCATATTGCATCTACTTTATATTCCTTTACGTTCCATGTGTAAAATAGGGTTATAAGCTTCAGTTGTGATTTTATCTAACGGGATGGAATTGATAACCTCACGACAAGCCATCTCCCTTTAGCGGCGTAACTACCGGTCAAGCGAGGATTAGTAGTGTGTCGGGTGGCAATCAAACCTGGGTCAAGATCATGGTTGGCGAGAATTCTACCAGCAATGTACACTTTAAACCTTGTCTTTTCATTATTCAACTTGAATCAAAGTAGTGAAAACCTTACCATAAAAACCGCTTTCGTTTAATCAATAAAAAAGTGACTAACATATTATACTAGACGCCATCATTTAAAGACAATATTTATTTAAAACACGCATTTGAGCTATCAATTACTACAGTAGCTTGAATACATACTTTGATGAAGGCTGTGTTATTGCATGCGGCTTCACAACTACTGTTGCTTCCTGTTTACTCTCATAATCACAGTTAAAATTAACCATTTTTAATGGAAGAGGAGAAGAATTCCGAGGAAAATGACAATGATCTGTTCACTTTTTGTATTCAGATTTGTTTCTTAGGGAAAACAGCATTTTCGAATGTACAGTAAGCAGTATGTGGTTTTTCTCTTCACATACGCGGAGTAAACTTTTAAAATATGAGCATTCAACTAGAAGAAATAATTAAATAGGGATGAATAAGAACAGTCAATCTTGGCTGCACATTCTCTTTGACATATTCTCACATTGGGTTAATGATAGAAACGGCCACCGGGTTTTTTGCTTTAAATTCAGTTAACTAATCGTGTTGAAAATGTCACAACTGATACAAAGGTAATAGCATAACAATAGAACTAATGAATGAGTGCGATTCATTCTCATGAATTTTAATATTCAATATTTTCGCCAAGGGGCTTAATAGATAAGATGTCACATTTCTAAGTCTATATGTACCTTATCATACTAGCAGCAAAAACATAGAACATGATGTAGTTTTCCTTCAGCTTGCTTCACTGCCTAGTGCAGGTGGATCAGACAGACGCTGAGGAGGCCTCTGAGCAAAACCATGAGTCAGACCCTTAAGTGGGACCAAAATAGGACGACCCAACGAGTTGAGCTTTCAAAGACAGTATGGAGGAGATCATGTTAGGGGTAAATAAAAGCTCATGGGTAGTCGTGGAACCAGCCTGAATAGATATCACAGAACATAATAAAATGGTAGTGTGGAGCTGAAGCCCAATGTTCGATTCGGAACCCGAAGAGGTAATAATAATATAATAACACCTTTTGAAGGCGAGGTCGTTGTCGACAGCTATCAGCTGGCCACCACCTATAATCCAGTATAACTCTGAAAACTATTCACTCAAAAATTGGACGGTAATTATCGAAATATAAATATTTTTGTCCTGACAAAATCGTTTGCAGTCAATAGAACCACTGTATCAACATATGCTGATGTTGGAAAAACAGTCAAACAAAATCCCTACAAACCAATACTTGTAAATTGATATTCAAGTGTTGGTTTGCAGGGATTTGATTGGTTACAGCATTTCAACATGAGCTGACATTAGTTAGAGAACCATTGGAGTACTAGACAAGCCACTGGGACTCGATCCAATGGCTCATGAATTCTAACTTCTGCCAATTCACGATATAGCGCGACCCCTAGCCTAACGGTATACGAGGTGGCCTTGTAACCAGAAGGTTCTGGGTTTGAATCCCGGTGGGTGCGTACTGATGAAGAGTCACAAACTAGGACGAAACAGCTGTCCAGTACTCACAGGTTTCCCAATGGTTCTCTAACCGATGTCAGCTCATGATGAGATCTTCCAACCAAAAAATGGATATATTTTTTAAAAAAGCCTAATAAAGTGACACAAGTGTTCTGACTGTAGTGATCGATATATGCACCAAGTTATCTGAAGTCTTTATCTGTTTGGATGAAATTTCATATGAGGATACTCAGCCGATGAAATGATGTGATAAAAAAAGCAGAAGAAGTGATAGAACACTGGAGGTAAACAGCTGTAGAATTTGTTCCATTATTACAAATATGTCGACATTTGTCTTCTGTTAAAACATCAATATTGTCTCTACTCATCACTTTTCGATCCATTTTCCTCGATTTACCTAATTTACAGTGATATGACTTAATTTAGAGCTGTTACGTAAAGGAAGACAGTACAATTGAAGATACACTGATGTTAAATTTTATGTCATTTAACATCATATTTTAATCCAAATTAAATGCCATCACAATCAGAATTAGTTAAAACTTACTGAACAGTAAAACCACAACTTAAATACTAACAAGTTATGAAATTCATTGGTCAGAAGACGGCTTATTTCGTCCTAAACAGTAAATTCCAGTGTACAAGAAATCCTTCTTATTTAGACGGAAATTATTCTAATGAGTTAATGTATTCTGTTTCATTTCTTTTGCTCCCAGCAGAATGTAGCACTCCAAGCTTTCGAGTTTTAGCAGGAGTGATGTTAATAGCCACACGCGCAACCTTCCGTCTTTTTCAAGCCTACTGTCGCCTAGCGAAAAAAGTGAGGTTTAGGCGTGCATAGGCCAGAATTCGAACCCGAAATGTGTGA